CCGGGGCGTGCTGGCTGCCGGGGAGTGACTGGGGCACCGCCTGCTGCCCGGGGCTCCCCCGAGTCAAGGAATCCCGGGCGCAGGCCCCGCGTGGGCACCGACCCGCGGAGGGCGGCGTCGCACAGCGCCCGCCTGGCCTGCTCTCGCTGGCGCTCCCCGGGGGCCTCGCGTCCCCTCCCTCCATGTGGCCACCGCAGTCAAACGGCCGAGGCTGGAGAGCGGGAGCAGTGGGAGGGGGCGGGGACGCGCTTCTCGCCGAGGCTTTTGGGACATAAAGCACCCAAGAGGGAGCAGGAAAACGGCAGAGGTCTGCGGAAATCCAGCGGCATCTTGCTGGTCGTCAGTTTCCCACGGCCTGCGCCGTGTGCACAGGTAGGGGCTCCCCCTGACTCCGGGCATAACTTCCTTGCTTAGCTGCAGCAGTATCTGCACTGGGCAGCTAGGGTGACCAGGTAGCAAGTGTGAGCAAGGGAGCGGGGACTAATAAGGTGCCTACATCAGATAAAGCCCCGAGGGTCTGGTGAACGTCAAGAGTTACAAAACTTTTCAGGCTGCTTACTCCTTGCCCAGTGATGTAGTTTACTGCAGACTCCCGTCGGATATAGGCAAAGGTGACCTGAGGTGCTCAGAGGATCAGGTGTTGCTTTCTTTTTAGCCACAGCTTCTGTAGATTTCCAAACTATGGGGCAGGGCCTACTAGGGGGGCATGGAGGAACATGGGAGGGAGTGACTGGCAATGCTAGTGGTTCAGACTTGCCCCCTGCAGCAGGGCTCTGAGAGGGATGGACCAGCACCTCCAGCTCTTGACTCATCTCAGCATGCTACCTAGTTATAATTGGAAGTATGGAGTTCACCCAAGCCCCACCACCTGGGTGTGGCCCAAGCAGCCTGGCATTGCCACTCACCCCCAACTTTCCTCCATGCTTCCCTAAGTGTAAGTGTGTGTGTGTGTGTTTCATAACTGGAAAATCTGTACTAAATAATATGTATTGTCCATCATTGTACAATTTTTCTTTCATATCCTCTGGCAATGGTTCATATACCCATAGGGGTACATATACCAGAGTTTGAAAATTGCTGCCCTAAAGGCAGCCCTTCTGAGTCATCACCTAAAGCTGTGGTCTCCTTAGAAGGAGTGACAAAGATGAGGAATTGTCCCAGACTGAGGACTCAATAGAGGAGATTTTGGAATAAATTGATAAACAGGACCAGATGGTATATTTACCCAAGAGTTCTGAAGGAACACAGATATGTAGTTGTAGAACTACTCATCGTGATACAGAACCTGTACCAGATGACTGGCTACCATGGTGCTGATTTTTTTTTAAAGGCTCTGCAGGTGATTCTGCAATTACATGCTCAAAGCCTATCTTCAGTTGCAGGCTAATTAGTTGCAACTGCATTAAAGAACACAATTTTCAGACACACAGATTAACATGATTTGTTGGGGAATAGCAAATACAGCTTTTGTAAATGAAAATGTAAACTATCATGGATCAGAAACTGAAATAAAGGAAAGTAAAGGGTAGGTAAAAATGCTGATCACAATGGAAAGAGATAAATAGTAGGGTCCCTCAAAGATCTGCACTGGGGCCTGTTCTATTTAACAAATTCATAAAAGATCTGGCAAAAAGGGGTAAATAATAAGGTGGCAAAGTTTGCAGAGTATACAAAATCACTCAAAACTGTTAAGTCAAAACAGACTGCTAAGAGTTACAAAGGAATCTAACAAAACTGGATGACTGGAGAAGAAAATGGCAGATGAAATTCAGTGTTGATAAATGCAAAAAAATGCACATTGGAAAGCATAATCCCAGCTATACATACAGAATGTCAGGTCTGCTAAGTCTCAGAGGGGTAACCAGTTTAATTTGCAATTTTAAAAACGAGTAGTCCTGTGGCACCTTAGAGACTAACAAAAATATATACAGGCAGTCCCCGGGTTACGTACAAGATAGGGACTGTAGGTTTGTTCTTAAGTTGAATCTGTATGTATGTCAGAACTGGCGTCCAGATTCAGACACTGCTGAAACTGACCGCCAGTTCTGACTTACATACAGAATCAACTTAAGAACCCCAGGCGTCCCCAAGTCAGCTGCTGCTGAAACTGATCAGCAGCTGATTCCAGGAAGCCCGGGGCAGAGCAACTCTGCCTGGGGCTTCCTGTAGTCAGCGCTGGTCAGTTTCAGCAGAAGCTGACTTGGGGACGCCTGGGGCAGAGCAGCTGGGGTGCTACTGGACCAACCCAGCAGCACCCCATCTGCTCTGCCCCAGAC